TTAAATCTGCTGGAAGACAAGTAAGTAGAAATCTTGAAGACATGGGATGGGGGTACAGAATTCATGAACAAAAATCAAACCACATGGGAAATAATTCCCATGTGGGAAGTAACTGGGATCTCATTAAAAATTTTTTGTATTCTGAAAGAAATCTCCAACAGAGTAAAAAGGAGACCCATGAATTTTGAAAAAATAGTCAACTGTCCCTCAGACAAAGGACTTCTGTCTAAAACTTGGAAAGAATTAAAAAAATAAGGCTCCCAAATTTCAAAGACCCAGTCGAAAAATGGGCATCTGAGATAAATATACACTTCTCAGATGAAGAAATACAAATGGCAAATAAATACATGAAAAAATGTTCATCATCATTACTCATTAGAGAAATGCAAATTAAACCCACACTAAGAGTCCATCTCACTCCAAAAAGAATGGCCAAGATCAAGAAAACTACCAACAAATGCTAGAGAGGCTATGGGCGATAAGTAACTGTCCTACACTGTTGGTGGGAGTGTAGACTGTTGCAGCCACTGTGGAGGTCAGTCTGGAGATTTCTCGAAAGGCTGGGATTGGAAGTCCCATTTGTTTCAGCTATTCTGCTTCTAGGCATATTCCCAGAAGACTTTAAAACATACCACAGTGATATATGTGCACCCTTGTGTATAGCAGCACAATTTGTAACAGCCAGATCTTGGAAACAACCTAAGTGTCTAATAACTGAGGAATGGATAAAAAAGTGTGGCATTGATGTTCCGGGAGAACATGGCAGATAGATAGCAGCAGCTTCAGAGGCTCTCTGAGAAACCACACTTAAAATCCAGGAATGGTGCCAGGCGAGAAATCCTAAGCAAGGAGAGATATACTTTGCCGACCCAGGAATTAACTAGGCTAAGAGAAACCAACTGGAAACGCAATCCCGGTGATACAACAAGAACAGATAAGGTCTCAGCATGGAAGCTGGACCCCGAGCCACTGGAAGCTGCGATTTGAATTTCATGCAGCTGCTGCTGTGTCCCAATCAGCACAGCAAGGAGAGAGGCGCGAAAGCTCTGAGAGTGGGAAGCAGTGAATGGAGTTGAGAGTGGCACTGGCCTGGAGCCCTGCATCGACCTGCAGTGAGTGAGTGGATCGGGGACCCTTCCATAGAGTAGGAGGCTTCAGCAAAGGACATACTGGGACTGGGCAGACTACCTGGAACAGGATGCTACAGTGACTTCAGTCACATATTCCCCTCTCAAGCGGGATTGGTGGAGAGTGCCTGGCCTGCGTGACATCGCTGACTAAGACCCAGTAGGCTAGCCCAAACCAGGTCCCAGCACCTGGAGGTGCATCCTAGCAGTGAAACCTTTGGTAGGTTGACCTGGAGGGGCGGGCCCAGCATAGGATGCCCAGGTCTGTGTCTCCCTGGTGCCGCTGCAGTGGGCAGGAACACCTAGCCTGTGCAATTCAAACAGACTGTGGCCTGGGAAGGAAGCCACAGAGAAGGAAGCTGGGTCTCCTATACACGCTTAAATATAAGGAACAAAGAATATGGGAAGGAATTAAGCAAGCTGGGACAGGGAAGGAAAATGGGCCTCCTATACACGATTAAATAAAAGTAACAAAGAAAATGGGAAGAGGGAGCAAAAAGAAAGGGTCCTCAGCCCCAATCCTGAGAAACACGCAGTAGCAGACACGGCACAAATAGACATAAAGCGCTATCTCCAGAGCCTCATAGACGAGTTAAGGAATGAAGTTATTAACGACCTGAAGCAAGGTATAAGTAGAATAGTTAGAGAAATGCTAAGCACCGCCCAAGAAAAAACAGATGGTGGAATGGAAGAACAGAAAAAAAAGGGGAGAATTGTTTGATGGAGAAAATAGAGAAAACATAGAATACGTGAAGCAGGTTCAAAGAGATTACCACGAAACTAAAAACTCTCAAAAACTGGCATAATAGCTTGAAAGAAACTAAGGATAGATTATCTCAACTGGAGAGCAGATTTAATATGGGAGCATGAAATGAAAAACTTCTTAAAAATAAACAGCAACGATACAAAGGCTAGAAGATGAGAAGAGGATCTATAATTTAAGAATTAAGAACATAAAAGAAGAAGTAGGGACACAAACAAATGGACTACAAAAGCCATTCACAGAAATAATTCAAGAGAATTTCCCTAATTTAGCGAATGGTAAAGATATTCAGATGTATGAGGCATACAAGACCCCAGCCACCTACAACCCAAACAGAGCTACACCCAGGCATATAATAATCAAAATTCCAGAAATACAATATAAGAACAGAATATTAAAAGCTGTCAGAGACACTTACAAGGGAACCATCAAAATTACAGCAGACTTCTCGGCACAAACCATCAAATCACGAAGAGCGTGGGGGGAAATAATTCAAGCTTTGAAAGATAATAACCTCCAGCCAAGATTGATATATCCTGCACAACTGTCCCTAGAAATTGATGGAAAAACAAGGTGTTTCCAGGATAAAGAGGAACTACGGAAATTTGCAACCACCAATTCAACTCTACAAAGAATACTGCAGGATATTCTAAAAAAGGAAAATACCAAGATTCCAGAAATAGTGGCAGAGAGGCCACAATGAATGGAGCAGAAAGCGAAATGAAGAAGACAAACTGACAACAAACAACAGAAAAAGAGCTCAACAGAAATGAGGCAGAGAAGATCGGATGGTAGGAACAGCTATTTTGGAGAAAACAAGACATCATAATAGCTAGTGCTGATTTAGTATCATCTTGTTTTGAAGTCCCATCAAACTTGTATTCTTCTGTCTCCATCGATCTTAAAAGGTTGTATCTTATTGGATTTTATTATATATGATAATATAAGTAAAACTTTTATAGACAAGGAGATTTTACAGAAACCATTGTTCATTTCCTATTAATTGGTTCTAAATACCCTGTAATAATGTCATTCTCTTGAATGGTTTTATAGTGTCTTGATATGTTTGGTGCTACAGTATACGAAGTTATACTCAAAGATTTCAAGGAAAGAGACACTATGGTAACTATTTTTATGTCCGGATATCTTGTGGTGAAACACTATTGTGCTTAAATGGTTATGTTTTGACCTGCGCTGTTCTGTTGTTATGCCCTCTTTAGCGAATGATAAAGATACTCAGATGTATGAGGCATACAAGACTCAATCCCCCCCTTTTTTTAATTATTTACTTTTTTAATCTTTTTAATTAAGGGAAAAATAAATAAAAAATAGCAGGATACATTATAGTAACCTACTTTGATTTCCTATTAACTTGATTTGAAATCCTGTATTGCCCTCACCATCTTGTTTTGATTGATTTTCCTCTATTCTTCTTTGCTTGATAGTACCAAGTTCAAAAGTATAGGCAAAACTGTGAAGACAATAAGAATCATTATGACGCCCATTCCGGTTGACTATTGTTTTCTTTTAAAGTCCTGTAATGTCTCCAATGCTTTGGTTTTATTCTTTAATGTTTAGTTCAATTTTATTATAACTGGCAATTCTTCTTAAAATAGCAAGAGGCAGTATGGTAACCATTGTTGATCACCCTATAATTTGTTTTTACATTGTCTATTATGTCCATTCTTTTGATTTGACTGACTCTGTTCTGATATGTCGCATTTGGTTTTACTCTCTTCAAAAAAAGTAGTAAGAACTGTGTGAGTAATAAAACTCAAAATGTGTAATTGTCATTGTACAAAAGAAAAGAAAAGAAAGTGCTCTAAAGGTTATAACTGCATATATGTTTAAATGTATAAGATAGATAACCATATTACTGAGTTTTTTTGGATCATTGAACAAAACTGTTTGCACTCTCACTATTTGAAAGTCCACTTTATATGCTTCAATTTTGTAACTTGAACAACTGTTTCTAAGATGAGAATATGTAATCTATTAACTAGTAATTTCTTACCATTTATTTTTTAAATTTTGTATTACTTGTACCCTTTTTCTGTTTTTTTTTTTCTTTTTCTCCTTAAATAAAAAAAAAGTATGGCATTTTTATATAATGGAGTACTACTCAGCTATAAAGAAGGATCACATTGAGATATTTATAAATAAATGGATGCAACTTGAGACCATACTCATAAGCGAAATAAATAAAACTCACGTGTGTAAATACCATATAGTCTCCCTAGTGTAAGAAATGGTAAGAATACATAAAAGCTTATGGTAGTCATGATTCCCCATTACATTGCTTTGAAGCCTTATAATATTTCCATTCATAGTTGGAATGGTTTTATCCTGGGTTGTTTGTTTTATTATGTGTGATGGTATGAACACTATTTTGAAGATAACAGACATTATAATAGCCAGTGCTGATTTAATATCATCTTGTTTTGGAGTCCTACCACACTTTGGTTCTTCTGTTTCCATTGGTTCTATCATGTAGTATCTTGTTGGATTTTATCATGTGTGGTAGTATAAACAAATTTTTTATGGAAAATGGGATAATATAGTAACCATTGTTCATTTTCCGTTATTTGGTTCTGAATGCCCTGTAATACTTTTATTCTCCTTAATGGTTTTACACTATTTTGTTATGTTTGAACTATTGTATATGAAGGTATGCTCAACTATTTCAAGGAAAGAGACACAATAGTATCTACTGTTATATCGGGTTGTCTTGTAGTGAAATACTGTGTTTCTTAATTGTTCTGTTCTGATCTGCTTTATTATGTCCTCTTTTATCTTTATCTCTTTAAAATAAAAAATTAAAAAGAAAAATAAATTATCAGATACTGATAAGTATATTGCCATTGTCTGTAGTTGCAACCAGTAGAAACTAATAACAGGTCTTAAGTACTACTGAACATTGGACTTTGTATGAAAAAATAAGCATTTATATCTTGGTAATTGGCCGTGGCCCTACTAGTATTTGGTTTGGTTTTTCTAGAATAACTTCTATCACAGGCCTGTTCCTGTTGTACCACTTATTTTGTGTATTTAAAATTGTTTGGAGAGGAGCTCCTCCAGTTTTACGGTGGTGTTTTTTCTCTTCCTATTAGGTCCCTCTGCAATGCAATCAGCATTTACTACCTCACCTGCAGCAACTGTTCAGAAAACTGCACTGATGTTCTGTTTAGTAACAAGATTACCTTTTTAATGGACCTCCTGACACACCAGTTGACGGTATGTAATGTGACTGCTCCAACTTAGAAGCAGTTAGGGTTTGAAAAACATTCCCTATAGAGAAAACTAAAGGATTAAAAGAAGAAAAAGGTTAGAAGAGTAAAAATAAGGACTAACAGAGAAACTTCTAAAATATTTGAAGATTTTTTCATTTGACTTGCCTAAGCTCCAATGTTCAGTGGATAACAGACAGGTAACACTTGCTGAAAACACAAGTTGACATGGGTAGACGTGACATTGGGAGCAGATAGACCCAGTGCCAAACCTCTAAAGCCACAGGAATGAGTGCTGTAGAAAGAAGAAACTAGAAAGACCCCACAACCTCACTAACTTAGTTAAAAGGGTCAGCTTAAAAAAGATTTTTTATGGCTAGTTAGATTTTTTTTTTAATTAAGAAACTCCTCTATCAGAAAGGGGCAAGCCTATTATACTTTTGAAATGAGAACAAACAGGAATTTGTCTCCTAAAATTTTACTTCAGTTAACAGATGTTGAAAGAGGTAAGCTCAATGTAATATCCAAAGGTTTAGGTCTTTCAGTTGCAGTCTCCAGAACAGAATACTAAGGCCAGAAGTTTCCTGGGGAAGTTTCTGAGCCCCTGAGGTATTGGCACAACATTTCTCTCCAGCTACAAATTTACAACACAGGAGATTTATTTTTCAGAACTGGTTTGCTTTTACTCAGCACACAGTTGTAATAGTTCTTCTTTGAACACTGTGCTTTTTGCTCCATTTCTTAACTCCCATCAGTTCCTATATATGTTTAGTCCTTACCTGAGGCACTGTGACATGTTTTAATGAAATCATACCCAGCCTGACTCATTCCCCAAGTCCAGGTTAAAAATACTTCTTATGTAACTCTACTATTACATCTTTTGCAGAAGTGATTATATTGAATTCTAATTATTTACTTGTCTGTTCTTCACTAGCCATAAATTGATGAGGACAGCAGGTAACTCACCATTGTCTCTGAGCTTCTAACTCAGGATCTGGCACACAGTTCAGTATATCATTGAATGAACATAGGAATAAATTAATCATGCACAGCACAAGCTGAAAAGTCAGAACAATAATCATGAAGCCCTTTGAGGCAGGCAGTGACAATGAAAGGGCACAACCATACAGGAAAACAGAGATGTGGCCCACAGCATGTCACACACAGGCACAGCATGGGAATGGCTACAGAGTTGATGGAAAGTCATGGGTTAGATTATATAGTAAAAAAAATGCTTCAGAAATCATTGAAAAATAGCACAAGGAGTAAAGAGTTGACACTGGCTATTTGGCTTTATGTTTCAGTTATTTTGATTTACATAGCCTCATTTAGTTTTCAAAACAGCCGTTTAAAGTCATTATTATCCTATTTCACAGATAAGGAAACTCAGTCACTGAGAGGCTGACTTTCCCAACGCAACGTAGATGTGAGTCACAGAGCCAGTAGTCAAACTAAGGGACATAATGGGAAAACTAAGGGACAAACTATATAATGAGTGGTTTTTAAATTTTGGAACCGTAAAAGAACGGAACAAAAGTGAGGAACTGTCACTGTATGGAGAAGAATAAGGACATGTAAGAACTAAATATAATATGAGATCCTGGTCCAGAAAATCAAGATTAGAAGGAAAACTGGGAAATTCAAGTTAAGTCCATAAAATAGTTAATTTTATCAGCCTAAGGTTAATTATCTCTTTCAGTAATTATACTATGGTTTTGTAACATGTTAACCATGGGGACACTGAGTGAAGGGAACTTTCTACTATTTTTATAATATATGTGTTGGTGTGAAATTGTTTCAAATCAGGAATGGAAACCAGCTCAAACCCATGCCTTCCCACTGTTCCATATTGGATCATCAGAAACTTGCTCTCTACTGGTAATGAGAGAAGAGATTTTACTTTGATCAGAGCACATAACTTTACAATAAATAGCAATTGAAATGTAAAGTAATGAGCATGATGGCTTATAGAAAAAAGATTTTCTTTTTTAGTTTCAGAAAACAATTGTTACAAAAGAAATGAGACCATTTATTCTCTCATTTAATAATGCTTAAATGCCTAGTATCTCCAGTTTCAGAGAAACACAGACTGTAATTTCAAACTTCCATGAAATCTCCACACAGGAGTAGGAGCAGTCATATAGATGATGTTATCTCAACTTGGGCTGCTATAACAAAATACTATGGACTGGTTAGGTTACATTCAATAGGAATTTATTTCTCACAGTCCTAAAAGCTGGAAGCCCATGCTACAGATGCCTGTGTGGTCAGGCTCCTGTGGGCTCTCTCTGCAGACTTCTACCTTTCTCCTGCATCTTCACATGGCACGGCAAAATGAGCTCACTCTTAGCCTCTTAGGAGGGCACTAATTCTACTCATGAGGTCGTTATCTCATGACCTGGTTACCTCAAAGCCCAGCCTTCACATAGCATCACATTGAGGATTAAATGTCAACATTGGGGTTTAGAAGTATACAAACATCCAGTCCATAACACATGCAATCCATGGTGTAAAGACAGCCTGCACAGATGCCATGGGCACACAAAGGAGGATGTTCTGTGGCTCTCACAGGGTTGTGACAGAACCAGTCACATGCCAGGAACGTGTATATACCTTGATTATTTTCCTCTTCCTTGAAACCCCTGGTTTCCTTTGAATAATATATTCTGTTGCTTTTGACCTCAAGATTTCTTGACACTCAGAAAAGCTTTTAATCCCTCAATCAAGGATTTCACCACATTCTATGTTTATTCTGCCCTGTGCGTTTTGTTCATTTTGGAACTAGGATCCAGGGTCATTTGTTTGTCAAACATATTTTCTCCCTCCTTTCCTGTACGTGGCACTTCCTGGGGTTTTCAGTTCTTCTTTGACTGTGTGTCCTGCAGCTGTTAATTGTAATGTTGCTGTGACTGAGTCTGAGGCACCGGAAAATATGTGACCTGGCTTTTCATGACTGGTAATAGTCATTTTATGTTTTTGGAAATCACTTAAGTACACTTAAGTACATTTTTTTGCTAACTGATTTTAATGTACATGTTACTGATATATGGACCACTGACTAGTTAGTTCCCTGTTAAATAAAGGATTAAAAGAAGTCATCAATATATTTTTCAGAAGTAATGGGAAAAAAAGCATAAAAGAAACTAATAACTGCCTGGCAGGTGCAAGATCTTGAGTTCAATTCCTGGTACTCACTCTCAAAAAAACTAATAAATTGGGATCTGGAAGAATTAATTATCAGGTGCTTCATTCAACCTTTCTGTTTCTTGCTAAATCTAGAAGCTTAGAAGATATTTTTCTTTCAGTCTGATTGCCTTGGGTTTGTTTTAGCACTCTGGAATTCCATTTCAGTTTGCTGTTCAGATGCCATGACTACAAAGGTGAATGCAATAGTGTTCCTCTACTCTAGAAGCCCACAGTTGAAAAGTAGAAAAATTGGGCACATAAATATCCTAGACAACTGTGGACATTTGATTAGAGCTGGAGTAGCCCGGGCAACCTAATAGAATACCTAGCATACAATAGATGCTTGTTAAATGCTTGGTGAATGAATGAATGAATGGATGGATGAGTGAACAGACTGTTGAGGACTGGATAATTTTTTCTTGAGGAAGAAATTACATCTGATTGACTTGAATATGAATAGAACTTTGACAGTTCTTGATTTATCATTTCCATAAAATATAAATCAACATAAAGTTTCATGCTTTTTCTTTCAATATAAAGTAGGATTTTAAGTAGTTCTTAGGAAATTTCTTTACAGCCCTTCAAAACTAGTTCATTTAGACAGGCTTCATCCATGGAGGCTAACATCAATGTATTATGTTCCACAAAGCATAAAAGCTTTAAAATAAATTACAACAGATTTCTTCCTTCACTCATGAATTATTAAACATTCTCTCTAGGCCTGTGTCATTCCAGTGAATACAACAGTAGACCTGTAGACTCAGAAAATTTCCTTGAGGAGACCAGACGTGCACATTGGAAAGCAATAATAGGCCAATGAGAAAAGTAAGGTGGCAGAATAGGAAGATAGCCTTGCTTCTCATCTTCCCAATTAACACTGACTTAACAATCCACTGACCAGCATACCTTTTATGAGAACTTCAGAAACCAGTTAAGAAGTTGCAGTAACCCAGACAAGCTCAAGCCCAAGAGTGACCACTTTGAAATAGTTAAGAATAACTGTTTCACTTTACTCTTGATTATGCATCCCTGCAGATAGCATAGCTTTGTGCTGGGGAGGATAACCTATCTCACAGCTTCTTGGGATGAGGACGTGGCAGGGGTGAAGTAGGAAGAGAAAAGTGGAAGATGGGACCAATATTTCAGCTTCTTAGAGTACTGCCTGCCTAACTTTAACTCTTATGGAACCAGCATAGTTTGGATGCCTGGTGGCTACTGAAACCAAACAACAGCAGGGTCAGCTAGTTGTAGTACCAGAGGGTCTACATTACCAAAAAGACCAGTTCAAATTGGCATGATCTAGAGAAGGCACTCAACTCTGAACCTCTCCCTCAAAAACAAGAGATAAGAGTGAAACATGAACACAGTGGTCCAGTTTTTTAGAGTAATACCCTGGAACTCTTTGTCTTTCTCACCTGTCATAGGTGCTTACAGAAAACCAGTCTACTTGGATGCTGCTGAGAATAGAGAGCGGCATACCTTGGTCCTGTAGAAGCAGAGAATGCACAGGGCTGCAGGCAAATATCAGAGGAAGTAAGAGATTATGGCTTCCTGGAAAAAAAGTGACAAGCCCTTCCTACACATGTGACCTAGAGAAGTTAAATTTACGAAAAATGTTTCAGAGGCCCCCAGAATCTCTAGCCAAGCTGACTGGTGAGGATCTCTCCCTGTAGGAAGCTAACTCATAAAGACTGGAAGAGGTGTCTGTTTTTTCACAATCCATCAAAAATTGTGAGATACACAAAAAAACAGGGAAACATGGTCCAAATGGGAGAATAGACTAAATCACTAAAAAATGGAGATACGTCGATTACCTGACAA